CTTTTTATATCACAGAAGTTATCCAATTATTTTCGTCGATCATCAGGTGAAGCGATACTTTTTTCAAGGGACTGTACTTTATGTACTATGTGTACTATACATACTTTATGTACTAGTTATCCATATTATAAATACTATGTGTATTATGCATACTAATTATGGATACTATGTGTAGTATAAATATTTTTTTAAAAATAATATTATGGATAGTATGTATACTATAAAAAATATTAACATGGTTAAACGTATGCGATCTGATGCGGTTCCATTATCACCAGAAGATTATAAATTTATTATACAATATCGTGATGCAAAACCCAAAACTGAAGTTTTGAAGGAATTGAGAAAAAAATATCCTATGACGAATGACCGTTTTTATAGAATTTGGAGAGGGCAAGAAGTTAGTATGATAGAATGGTATCAGCCTATATCAGATTTGACGATACCCCCAGATCGGAATTTATCTATACCTGAATCACGCTTACCAAATATCGACCAAGCTAGTATAACTGAAAATTCTATTGTCACTTCGGATAAGCGGGTCAAAAATAGAAAATCAAGATCTAAGTCTGTTCAAATTTCCGACTTACCTGATAATGTTACAGCCGGGTCCTTTAGGGACGAATCTACGATTCATAAACCAACAAAAAAAGTGGGAGAGGAGGATGACCTATATACTTTAATCGAACGTAATCGTAAAGAAACAGAAGAAGCTGAACGTGAATCAGAAAAGATTTTAGCCATAAAGTGACTGCTTTCAGCAAATTACAACTAATCCATCTTTGCTTTCTCTATACCGATATTGGTATTTTTTTCGTTTAAGTTATCAGATTCTTTTTTATAGTCACTGTGTGTCTGCCTTCGGGAAACCCGCAACTTTTTATTGAGTTCGATTAATTTAACATTGGAATCGAGTACTACATATAGCGATTTTTCTAACTCCTCATAACTCATTCGTTTTTTTTTAAAGTCAAATTATCAGAATCTAGGCTAAAACCTGCAGGAGCGTGCCATTCATCCTCCAATGGTTCATTACCCCCCTCATTACTATCGACCTCTTGAGAAATTTGATCAGATACCGAAGGCTTATCATCTTGAGCTACAGTTGCACAATTTATTTCAAGTTTATTCTTGACTTTGTGCATAGTAACCGGAATAATAAAATCTTCTCCATTATAATGAATCTTCATTTTATCATTACCCCAATCTACAGCACATTTATATTTTTTAAGAAGCGGGTTCGGGAATATTAATGTTGGTTTAGGGGTTCGTACAGTTACAAAATCTTCATGAATAGAAAAACCTGGAGGAAATGTTATTGGTAAATTACGAGCAACACCAATAGATTCTGTTGGAACAGTGGCAACACCACTAAGATCATACTTTACCGATTCATCAATTTTCCAACCTATGCGTTTAACAATGTCTTCTGATATAATTGGAAGCTCATCACCACTATCCAGTACCATTGCTGGAATTTTCAGGCGCTTGATCTTGCATTCTATAGTTGCAAGACTTATTGGTTTTTTCTTTTGAACAAAATCAATTTCCATAGGATCGTTCAATGTCTCCTCTTCACCATCTGATTCGGGTATCTCCAATATTGGTTCTCGATAATTTACAAAATCTGGAATAGCTAAATTTTTGTTTTCAGGTTTTAGTTTCTCTAACTGATGCGGGAGTAAGACTTTTTCAAGCATATCTAACATAATTCGACGAATATTCTCCTCAAGGGTAGTCGATTTATTTTGGGCCTTACTAGAAGTGGCAACACCTTTCTGTTTAGTCTTACGAGATTTAGGTATTTTCTTAGAGGATGATTTACCCTTCTGCTTTACTTTTTTTTTGATTTAACGTCATTGATAGCATTGATAATTTTCACGATTTCACTCTCAGTTAAGTTATTCTCAGAATCGGATTCCAATTCAGAACTAGACCCAGAGTCGGAATTAGATTCATTATCAGAAGAATTGGTATTAGAATCAGAGCCGGAATCTGAATCTTTAGTAGCAAGATTAACCCTACCTTTTTTCTTGGATATGCTTTTGTTAGAACGTCTGGACTTGCTCTTCTTTTTAGAACAGTTGCGAGAATTATGGCCTGCTTTACCACACTTTGAACATTTGTATTGGGATGATTTTAAAACTGCATGTATTATTCGAGCCATTTTTGCCTGATTGATTCCCAACTGCTCGAATTGTAATCTCAAATCTTCAATAGGGTCATAGTCATAATCTTCTCCTGGTAGACTTGTATTATCTATAGCTTCATCTAAAAATTTATTCATGGCAATTTCATCTGCTTTTTGTTTCCCAGGACCGGGTTTTTTCGATAAGGTCCGCTTTGCTCCAGCCATTGTTTCCTTCAAACCCAGCACTATATCATAAAGTTTTTTGAAATCATCTCGCGAAACAGAGTTATCATTAGCTTGTATCTCCTGAGACTTAGAAGGGTTCACGGGGGTCATATCACTCGAGTGTTTATTTTTTTCATGAGGATTGGGTGTTGGAAATACTGGAAAAGAAGATGGCGTGGTCACTTGAGCTAATGTATATTTTTCCGCCTCTGCCAATGCTGTTGTAATGTTGTCCTGAGAATCATGAAATTTAGCCATCATACGTAAATTATATTGATTCATAGGAGATAACCCACGAATAAATTGCTCCCTTTGTTGCTGGGGAGACATTCCAGCAAGTTTACCAAGCTTTTTTATTTTATTACTAAATTCTTCCACTTGCATAGATCCTTGCATAAGCTGACCAAAGATGGCCATTTGTTTTTGCGCCTCCACTGTAGTATAAAAATATCGAAGTCTGTATATTTTTTGACCGAGCTTCATACCAGGTGCAATTGTAACATTAGGAAATCCTCCACCACCATTTGGTGCCACTGGTGCATCATTTACTGGCATTCCACCTGCTATAGACCAATCCTCATTCCATGTTCCATTTGGAATTAGATTAGCCCCAGTTGCTATTCCTGCACCAATTCGACCAATTTCTGCACTCGCCTCATTACGAAATTCGCCAGCAGTATTTAAACCACCTATCTGATTACCTCCATTTCCAGCACCGAGTGTACGAATTGCAGTTATAGTAGCTACTCCTAAGTTATCAGAAATATTATTGCATTTCCAATTCTTGCCTTTGATATTAGTTTCATACCAATTTAATGCTGGACCTTCAAGACATGATTCGAATAAGCCATCTGCTTCTGCTCTCCCGGCCACACCACCTGCACCAGCTGTCACATTTATTCGAGAAGCTACTACATATCTTTGAAAATCTCTAAGAAAATCTTCCGGATCTTCTCCAGGATTACCTCTAAAAATTGGGGGTCCGTATCCTACCATTCCTGATATATGTTGGTTATTTAGTAATGGATTATTCTGTAGCGCAAAAATTTGTTGATTTAAATTCAAAATATTCTGATTTTGGTTCGTAATTAATTGACCATTATTTCGGCATCGTCTTTTCCACTTACCCCATTTAGTATCAAGCTGAATATCGCTAAGAAGTAAATCATCCCGGCATGTATCTAACTCTTGTCGCAGGGCTCTAGCATAATTCTGAGATTGTTGTAATCGATGGCTATAATTGCGCAATAATAATTGAGTGGCGAATTTCTCACGTAGTAATGTACCAACTCGCCTATGTTTATCTTTATATGAATAGAACCAGTGCCTACGTTCATTCTTTTCATTATGATAGGCCAAAAGTAATATTCTATAATCACCTTCAGCTTGGGTTATACCGGTATTTAACCTTCTAATATCTTGGTTCTTTTGATTGACTTGGACTTGTGCCTGATCTGCCCGATTCTTTTCCCAGTCCAAAATTTCTCGAAGCCTTTTTACAGCGTTTTTTATATCATCAAATTCGCGATCAATAATACCTCTGGGGATTGTAGATACAGGAGTTCTCTGAAATATACTATTGATATTATTGAATGTATTGCGAACAGATTCCGTAATTGTCTGTGCCTCACCAGGGGCAGGTGCTCGAATTTGTTGAGCCATATCTGGGTTATCTTTATGAATATATTTATGGGATGATATTTCATGAATTCGAATTTTAAGGCTCTCTACTTCACTTTCTAGATTGGATATTTGTGTATCCCGATATACTATGAATTCTTCTTTTTTATCTACATCCTTTAAAGCTATTCTGAGGCATTTTTCAAGATCAGATACTTGGGTTTTTAATTCCCGAATCTCTGACTCATGAGCTATAATAGTGCTATCCTGGAATGAAATAGTCCTATGGCAACTCTCAACTTCTTTTATGAGGTCGCGGATTTTTTTCTCATTCACTTGGTTTATAGCTATTTCGCTTTCTAACTCTTTGCGCAACCTCCGGTTAGAATCTAGCAGTTGTAAATATCCTGGATCGAATTCAAAATTCGCCATTTATTTCAACCCTAATTTATTATTAGAGTAAAATGCATTGAAAATGAGCAAATTGAGCAAGCCTATTATCAGAATCGATCCTAATGATGAATTAGCTTTAGTTTGCAAGTTATTGTTCTATCAACCCACAGGTTATCATTCCAATGCTCGATCATTACATAAAGACCTCAAGAAGGAAGGATATAATTTCCCATATAAAAAGGTTCGTGAATGGTTGCATAACCAGAATGAATGGCAAAAATACGCTCCATCGCCAAAAGAGACTCCACGGGTTAGTTATGGTAAAATTCAAAAACCAAATTGTGTACATCAGTGTGACCTCTTATTTCTTACGCATGATTTCTATAAAGGTAAAAAATGGAAAGCAGTATTACAAATTATAGATGTGAGTAGCAGGTTCAAGGCAAGTGTTCCTCTAACATCGAAGAATAGTTCCGAAGTTGCTAAAGCATTCAGGAAAATTTATGATAATCCCAATAACCCTCTTACGTATCCGACACTTCTACAATGTGACCAAGGCAAAGAATTCATGGGTGAAACGGCTCGACTAATGGAAGCACATGGTGTAATAATCCGAGTAGTTGATGCATATAGCCATCGAGGACTAGCCCTTGTAGAACGATTCAATAAGACATTAGCAGAGATGCTTTATAAAATCCAGTATGCCGTCGAATCGATATCTAAAAATCCTAAATTAATAAGAGAGTGGGT